AAAACTAATAATTTGCATTGAGCTCGGTTTTATTACTCCTCAGGATATATATATATATATATATATATATATATATATATATATATATATATATATATATATATATATATATATACATTTACTTATATTTATTTGATTAAATTTATATATTGGACTATATATATATATATATATATATATATATATATATATATATATAGATAGATAGATAGATAGATAGATAGAGAGAGAGAGAGAGAGAGAGAGATGAGAGAAATTAAATTTTTAACTGCAAGGGCAAGTAAAGTTTAAAAGTCTAAGATTTACAGTAATGTTGAATGCAAAGAAGGGAATTGAAATAAAATTAACAAAAGATGAAAATATGAGCAGAGATTTGCCACATGTCTTTAATGGATATGTCACATAGGGAGAGAATGAAAGGAAAGAGACAACTTTTCATTTTTCTGGCATCATTTGGGGGGGGGGAATTTATTTCAAGTTATGTTTATTGGTAATCACATTTTATTGTGAATCTTCTACCTGGGCCAGATTTGATTTGATAGAAAGCATCAGAGATAAATACTGATTTTCAAAATACAGTCATAAGCATTCTTTAACCATCAAACAAGCATTATGTATCAGAAATAAAGAACAAGTTTAAAACAACTTTGAATTTTAGGTGTTTTCATGTGTTTATTATAAGTTTGTAAAATGAAATACAGCGGAAAATATCCATCATCAGGTTTAGGGAAATCGTGAAGACATCGCCACTCACTTGTGCATAATTCATGTTTATATCTTCCCCGAAGAGAGTGTCAGCGGGTTAGCCAGAGTGATGTGTCATTTGTTTAAAGGAATAACGTGAAAAACAAAACAGAAATAAGACTTTTGAATCTTTATTATGGATCTGGTTACAGTTGTCAGTGGAGATTCATATTGATTCAATGTTTTCGTGGCTAAGAAATTTATCTCAGTATTTGCAAGCTGTGTAATCTCTCAAGTTTTATCGGCACGGAAAGAAAATCAGCCAAATGGGTTCAAATTCAATTTCATTTCGTGTTTACTTCATATTAATGGCCTCTGGTTAGACAGGAATCCCCAGGTCATGTCGTGAATTGCCCGCTCGGTCTCCAGTTATGGCCAAACAAGGCAGATTGAGGTCGTCGGGTTTGCAATGCAGTTTATAAATCAATAAAGATTTTTTTACAGTGAAATTCACTGTTTAGAAGGTCCAAGAGCCACTTGAGGTAGAAGGCTACAGAGTAAGAGGTACTTTTTATGAGGATATATGGGGAAGATAACGGTTAACCCTATACTTGAACAGGTTAAGATTGTAGTCATTGATGAAGCATCCTCTTGGTAGTCGGTTCCACAAACATTTTCCATTAAAGTAGCGCTAGAGCAAAGAGAGGCTTGCTAAGTTTGTTTGTGGGATAGGGTTCGTATGGTGGAAAATAGTTCATCACCCAAAAGGATGCGGAAAAGTTTTTGGACTCTGTTAAGACTGGAAAGAGAAGCCTGGTAAGCTCATGTCCATAACAGCAGCAGTAATCCATTTTTGGCCTGATCTAATCTTGTAAAGTTCGAGCATAACACGGAAATTAATTACTGGAGTGATACAGAGAAATAATTAATAAATAAATAACAAAAAAACAAAATTTAAACGTCTCCTCTTCTCGAACACTCGACGAAGGGTAACATTTGATCTCTACTTGAAACAACGAGCACAGTCATGAAGAAGAGAGCCGACTGTAGAAGAACGGGCCAGAATCTTTCAGTGCTAGCAAGCGTAGAACACGCTGTGGAAAAACACGATCTCGTGCAAATGTTGGAAACCAGTTCGAATTCCGGCCGCAGAAAGATTTTTTTTTTTTACTTCGTGGAAGAATTCAAATTATAACCATTCTCCTTTTGCCCTTTCTCATGTCCAGATATCATAAATATGACATGATCGGTGATGAAGAACAGCGACTACTCTCTCATAACTATTTACTCGTCAAATCTGAACAAAACAACAGAAAAAATGCTACGTCATTGTCAGTCTTGATTCAGATACCAGTCAATCAATCAACTGATATTCTGCTTCAAAGCCAACATGAGGTCCCATCCTTGTTCTCTTAACTGTAACCCAGTCCTCCACATTCTCTTTTTCCATTTTATAAATATTGCCCGAATGGCGAAATATAGTCATTACCCATTTTATTTAAGTAGTCTCTCATGATCATTCATTAATAGATTTCTAGTAATCTGCGTTCCACTTTTCCACATTGTCGAAAAAATATGGCCACTCTCTCAAGATACATTTAAATTACGGTAAATTCCGGCGTACAACTCGACCTGGTGTATAAGTTGACTTCAAGACTTTTAGCTCAAAGTTCTTAATTAGGCCTGCACTTACCGTATAGGTCGGCTCCCAAATATACAGTACGCTACCAATGACCCAAAACGATTTTTAGGATGAAAACTCGATGCAAAAATATTTTTAGGCTTGAAAACTCGACTTGTACAGAACAATTTATTATAGCTTTTCATCCCAATAATTATTCGATAAAAGATGTAATGAAACGGATAAAACATAAATCTACTGATAAAAACAACACTTGGAATGATAAAAACATCTTCGCAACTCTACGACGGTATTTTTTAAATATTTGTTGATTTATTCAGTACGTGAACTAAAAATAAATATATCTCTGTTAACATCCTTGCTCAAGGACAATCATTTGCAATTCATTTACAATTGTGCCAACAGCATTTCGATGCTGTTGAAAATCAGTAACTGCAGTTAATCATAGAGGCTGAACTGGAATATACACAAATACTCCTTTCAGTAAACATTTATTGCAGACTGTTTCATAAACAAACATCGCCTTTCGTGTTGGGGAAATAGTTTCATTTTTCAAAATGTCGTCAAATTGTTTTTTTTTTGCTTTTTGTTTTTTTTCTAATCTAGCTAATAGTTTAGAATGTTCATTTAAAGAGAGGCTGGAATTTTTCATTTGGCGGATGAAATGCAACAAAATGTTGATTCTTTGTTTCTTCTACTTTTCTTTTCCGAAATATTCAGTGATTTCTGAAAACAGATTTATTTAACACCTTAAAGTAGAATTTTCTAAAATATAAAATGTACAAAGTTTAGTTAGTAGTTGAAATGTTAGATATATTCTACTATTTTAAATTCCAAACTGATCGTCGAAACAAATTAAATATATTATCTATATTTGCTTGAATGATTGGCTTGTTTTTTACGGGTTATCAACCGTTTGCAGATTGTTTAAAGCCAGAAAATAATTATAAATTCTAAGAATCTTTTGGAAATAATACTGATTTACTGATACAGTTCCTTGTAATTAACCCGTAGTTGCGGGTTGGTTGTTTCATATCTTTACCAAAGGTATTTGCTCCTAAGTGAATATAACGAATTCGATTGGGATTCTATTTTCGGACCAAAAGTAAAACCAAATTTTCATAGCAAAGAGCAAAGGAAGTAATATAAAAAGGAACGGAAATAAATTTTGGTTGATACAGGATCCGGTTAACATTGCTCAAAACAGCATAGACAAAAGTTTTGTTTAAGAGAATTTAAAGCAAAAAGATACTTTGAATATGTCGGCGAGTAGGAGAATGAAAATTATTCACCTTAGATAACAAATTTTATTTTCAATTCTTATATTGGTCTATGAGTACTAAAAGCCTTAAAAACGTCGAAATTACAAATTATTTCCAGAGAGAAGCTTAAATAGAATTTTTATATGCCAATAACGCTTTTTCAAAAGAATTAATTTAAGTCACCGTTCGTCAATAAGTCCGTCTGCTTCTGTTCTGATTGGTGTAAGTTTCGATGATTCAGAATTCAGGTGATCAGCAGGAAGGCAACATTTTTACGATTTTTCTTATCCTTACCCCATGGAGAAGTGGTTGATATACGTAAGCTTTATTTTTGCAATTAGAACAACCCATAATTGCCAGCAATGAAAATTAGGATTTTCTCGTTATTATTTCGAGATTAGTTCAATGGCATTATAGATTAAATTTCGGCCTTACATGATGCAATCCTTAACTGGCGAAGACCAGAGATTTCATCATCAGAAACACATGAAGATATTAGTGAAAATTATATATAAAAGAACGATACCACGTATTTAGGAGGATGAAAGAAGGTTCTTTATTCAATAAGAGTGAAATCCAATCATCTTCAAAGTCTTTCATGTGTCATGAATATTAACATTAATGATATACTGACTTCAATATCTTCAATACTGACTGCATAAAATCTTCCAGAGGATAAAGCTTCAACTGAAAACTATCAACTTGAATAATAATTCAGCCAATTCCGTTGTAAGTTTTTGGTTTTTAAATTCTTTTATTTATTTCACTAATTTTGACGTAATTCATTCTAGATTTATTGACAATATTTTACGTCCCGTTTGGTTGATTGTTTTTTTTTAACAGCATATCAAAACCTATATGGGTTATTTAATGCCGAAATCTAAATATATACGGAATTTTATTTTTTTGGAGATAATAATGGTTTTATTTATACAAGTCTTGTTAATTATGTCTTCCTATTTTTTTCAAAAATGTATTGCTGCTATTTCTATTATAAAAATCTATTTTCATACTTTCAGCTTGATTTGACACTAGTTTGGGGATAACTATTTGGCCATAAATAACAGGTGATACCAGCCGGGTGAGAATGAACCTGGGAACAACAGCAATTAACAGGTGGTTCCATGCTTCTCAAAACCTCCTGATCAGAGGCCTTGCTGCCAGATGTAGCTTATCGTCAGACTCAGGTCAGTTACCTCGTGTAATGAAGTTTATATCGGGAGGAATCAAGTAAAGATAAGATGATTCCTTATGAAAGGTTTTTGTTTCTCAGCCAAAATACATGGCTAATTACTTTTGCGGTCGATTTGACTCTCCTTAGGTGAAATACTCTCCTGTATTTGTGTCTCTCAACGTTGAACTTTGTGAAAGGATGCCTGGATTTAGAGCTCTGATTTATAAATATATTCGAGATGCTACCTGCTTGGCGCCAATTCCATATCCTTGGCGCCTTTTTCACTTTTTCTCTCCAAAGAATACACCTCTATACCGTTTGTTTTTCGATCTATGACAAATCTATGAGAACTAATTTGATACTAAATCTGTATTAAACCTTCGGCTTTGCAAACGGGAAATCGCGAAGATATTTGATTCTGATGACCCTCTATATTTGACCTCAAGTTTTTCAACTCATTCGTAATAATTGCACTTGAGTAATAGTTTACAATTTCTTTTTATTGATCATTACTCTTGTAGTTTGGTCAATCATCACATTTGTCTGACACTTGAGCTCGATGAAACTAAACTGTATGAATATTTACTTCTCACTTGATCGTTATTTCGCACACTTGCCATTAGTCAGTCCTCTACAAATAAAACCTGATTTTGAATGTAAATCTGCAAAGCAATTTGTGTTGCAGTATTATTCTTCATCTCTATTCACCAAGAGAAACCGAAATTCTCTTCTTCACCGGTAAACTCGAACGTAAATTTCTTGTAGAGGAGGTGTTTTCAATCAATGGCCCACCGGTCACGCGCGTCATAGGATTTTAACAGCAGTAACTTGAAATACTGAAATAAACAGCCTGTTTTTCGTATCTCTAATTAAATAACTGGTTACTTAATAAAAGCCTTCCCTAATGCATGAGTATTTTATTTACCATGTATATTTTATCATTACATCTTTGTAATTATGAACTTTGTCTTTTTTCTCAATTATATGCTGTTAATTACAGACAAGAAACTTACAAGGTCAATAATTTTTTGTCATTCTTTTCGAAATATTTTCGTCAGGAAAATCTCACCACAAAGCGAGTGAAATGTGTTATTTTCGTCTCCTATGACTAGAGAGTTCAATCTTAACTCTCACTAACTAATTTGGTTTCGTTCAAGGAAATACGGACGGGTGATGAAAATTTATTGTCTCGGCCAACTTACCCAAATCTATTCAAAGATCAGTTTGGGTGGAGGACGAAATTCTTTGAAAGCACAACTTTTTTCTTACCTTTTTTTCTAAAATATTGCATTTTATTTTGATTCTCAACATTTTTTTTTAAATAATGGTTTATACCAGATACTGTTTAGTTCATTAAAGAATTCGACCAACAGGAAAATCAGAAAAGTCTATCTGTGTTGCTCAGAAGCTCCGAGGCAATCTCAAATTTTCACATTTAGGAATTGAAGAATTCTCTTTTTAAAACGAAAAACGATAATACCTAAGATACTCGCGCGCTGGTATTCAACCAAACATAGAACTCAAATGTCCAAGAAAAAGGTATGTGAACCGAATATCTTATGGAGTCATATATTTTGTGTAATATTCTACAATCTTTTTCCGACTTTTCACTCTCTCTTTGGGGCTTCTATTGCGAAGGATAAAGTAGGAACTTGGTGCCTATATAAGTTTTTGTAGTTAAACTTACCCAACAATTGGAACCAAAATTAACCTTCTCATTTGACTTAATACACAAAATATTCATAATTTTGTCTTCAATCTTTTAATAATTCCTTACCACTGACAATCCCTTTATCTAACGTTCAATGTTCAACATGGAAGAAAATTGCAAGAGAGTGACGGAGTAGGAATTAAGTCAGTGGAGACAATTAAGAAACATCGAAACATTGTCCAACCATGATTAATTTATTTTCCCATGTAATCTGCTGTCACACTATCATCGCTAAACATTAGCGTGAATGAAAGGGTTAATAGATCACTAGCGAATGACCTGGAAGTTTAGATTATTAATTAGGATTGCACAGAATGCGAACCTAGTTTAGAAGATAGCATGCATTGTCCGATATAGGCGGGTGATACGTTGTATTCCTTCTACGCCTATTCATCGAGATGAAATCAGTCCGTTGCCGTTGGGATCCTTGTTATTTCTATAATCATATCGTCAATGTAAACGCCCATTTTCATAAGGGAAACATCAAAGTCGGCAACGGGAGAGCAAATATGTCTTAGATTTCTTCCTTTCTTTGTTTTATTTACATTCTTTTACATTAATTTCCATCCATTCTGTCTGTCTATCTATCTATCTATCTTAATTTGTTTACTATAACTTTTTTTTTCTTTTTTTATCATTTCTTTTTTTCTGTTTGATTTCTCCTTTTTCACTCATGGATTGTTTATTCTTTTCTTTATTTGCTTTTCAATTTCTTTTTTCATCTTTCCATCCACTTTTTCCACCTCATATATTTTTATTTTTAAAACTTTGTTTTCTTTTCTCCCTTTTCATTACTTTTATATTTTCTTCCTTTTCTTTTCTTCTGTCTTTATTCTTTTTCTTTTTTATTTGTTTATTATATATTTCTTCATCTTTCATTTTTGTTTCATTGTTTTTATTATTCTAAAAAGAGCAATCGTAATTTTAATTTTTTTTTTTTTGACATTTTGCCTTTTCCTTTTGTCTTGTTAATTTGTTTATTTTTCTTTTTCTTAATTCAGTTTATTTCATTTCAGTTACTCTTTCCATTCTTTTCTTCTTCATTTTTCTTTTTCATTTCCTCGTTCGTTTTCTTCTTTCTTTGTTTTAAACTTTTGCCTTTTTTCTTTATTTTACTTTTGATTTTTCCCTTTTGAATCCATTTTCTTTCCTTTTTATTGCTCCATTTTCTTTCTATTTTTTTGTCTTCTTTCTCTTTTTACATTCTTTTAATTTCTTTTCGCTTTTATTTAAATTTAATTCATTTTACTTTTTATCTTTTCTTTTTTTTTCAGTTTCGCTTTTCCATTTCGGTAATAAAAAGTAAAAAAAAACAAAAAAAAAACCAAAACAAAACGCTTCTCTTTTCATTTTTTCTTCAACGTTTCCCGCCTTACATTTCCCTTTTTTTATTTCTTTTCCTTTCTTTTTTACATTTTATTCGAACGTTTTCTTTCTTTCTTCGATTCGTATTCCACTTTAACATTTTTATTACCCTTTTTTGTTTTATTTATTTTCCTTTAGTTTGTGTCTCTTCTTTTGTAGAGACGGCTAATTCTTAACAGCTGCCGCAGACGATACGATTAACTGTTACTTTTATTCACAGCGATCATCTAAGGGTGACTACACGTGCAGCTTATCTTAAACGGACACCCATGCACTTTTCCTTTATCTGAATACTTCTGTCATTAACTCGATTTATTTTTCGATCTGGCCTTTCTATTCGATCAAATCTCTTTTGCCTTTTCCCAATATAATTTATTCTGATTGATCTAAACATAACCGTGGACAATATCTCACAATCTTTTTTAGACACACTTATTTTTAAAACTCTACCCACATTTAAGCTCACATCATCTGCTACCTACTCGCTAGTGATTTTTCGAATCATTGTTTTAATTACCTTTGGAATATACTTCATTCTATTAGGGTCAGAGGGCAGAGGATTATCTTGTAAAAGATTGTCCTAGTAATTTTCAGTAGATATATAATTAGGAATATTTTGTGAGTTGTATGATATAAAAATTATAGTCGATTTAATATCGCCCTCTTTTCTTGTGTTTTGTTTTGTTTCTTTCTTGCCGGTGTTAGCTTTTAAAGACTAACACATTTGTATTCATTTTCTAATATTCTCTCCCTTGGGTTTTCATCATTTATCATTCCCATTGTTTGATTCCATTTATTTTTCATTTCTTTGCAACATTTTTATCTCCATTACATGATCAAAAGAATTTCTCTCTTTAAATCCTGAACAATTCCTGTCCACAAACTCAACACAAATTCTTTTCTCACAAATAACATATTCGGAATCGTATTTATCAGTTGAAATGTGATACGAAACTTCAAAATATATTGATCGATCTCTGTTATTGATATTTAACACTTATTTAAGTGCAATGAAAAAGAAGAATATCCTGAGAGTAACATGGAACTTTGTCGTTTTAACGTTCGGTCCATGTGATTAACACATGATAAATACAGTGACAAGAAACGAAATTGTGTTGAAAAAATGTTTGACGTATAAATTAATTTTCTTTCATCATAAATCCGCTGATTTATTGTTGTTCCTTTGTATCTGTAGTAAACAAAACAAGATCTAGATTTAAAAATTCAAATGCTAAGCACTGACTCATTGATTTTGTTAGAAATTAAAAAGACTTGAATTTACAAACTTTGCTTAACACACACGCAAAAGTGAATCCAAAACAAAACTTGTGAAATTTCACACCTTGATGCGAAATGTTTTTCGGCCAATAGAAAACTAGGAAACATTTAAAAACAAAATTCAAATAATCTTTAATTCTCAGAGACAAATTATTTTACGGACCTTTTCGCGAGCCGATGCGAAGTTTGTTCGTCGTCCAATAGAAAAGCCCGAATTATATCCTGGAGTGAATTCCCAAATGACCTTTTCAAGTCCCACAAACAAAATAAAATACGGGCAAGTTCGCCTGCCACCAGAGAGAAGGAGACGAGCGTAATACACGTCCCTTGACAAATGTCCAGCGATCGTTATTATTATCTCTACCTTTCTCCCTCACCTCTTTTATACTTGATAAACTAATGGAACATTTTAAGACTGAGGGATTACTTCAAAGACATTAATACCCTATGATAACGTTCATAAATACATACACATATACGTTCCTGCTTGCGTACACATAAACTCATTCTTGCAAGGCATACTACGAACATTTTGACGACCTTGTATCAACCAAAATACATTAATTGTAGATACCTTACTTGATTTTATATATATATATATATATATATATATATATATATATATATATAAATGTGTTGTTTCACTTTACAATTTGATTTTCTTGTTTTATATCCCTCTTATGGTGTGCTATCTAACAAGGCCAAATCAAACTAATCTGTTTCAACATTCATATACTTCACTATAACTGATAACCCACTATATATCTACCTCGCTCTTACGATTAATTTATTTCTTATTTTGCCTCCGTTTTCATTAGTCTCTTTTTTAATTTATCTGAGTCTAATTGAAGCATTTTCGTTCACTTTATCTTTTCTCGTCTGTTTTCTTTCATGTTTTGAACACAAACTCGTTTTCTCTTTCTTCTCCTTTATTGCAACTAAACTTCCTATGTCTCTATATACTTTCTAAGAAATCCTTTCATACAATTTATTTTTTAATTTCTTTTCTCCCATCCTTTCCTCATATTTTCTCCCGTATTTCTTGTTTCTTGTGCCTTGTCCCTTCAAAACTTCGGCGATCATGTCTCTCTCCAAGTGCTTCTATATCGTACCGCTTAACAGCGCGTTTGTCCTTTGACACCTCTTTTTCCTTAATCCATTTAGACAAGCTCGTCAGTTAGTGGGTCCACTGTCTGCTTTCCCCTTTTCCTATTAGAATTAATTATTCCAAACCTCCCTTCTTTACTTTCTGGCCAGTTCTCTTTTCATATTCTGGTTGGCAGTTCATCTAGTTCTTTCACTTATTGACATTTAATTTCCATCTCGTTTCAATTTGTCTTCATTTACTTATCCATTTTATTCATCGTTGTATCAATGCTTCACTATTACCAACTTACGATAAATATGTTATTCCGCGTACGTACTTCGTACGATAAATCATCAATTTCCATTTTTTCTCCTCCTTATATTTCTCACCATATTCTCTTTATGGCCAATGTGTTGAATCGTGTAACTCTCAAGAGAATTTAGAAAGGACCTTTTTATTTGGTTAAGTGGCAAGTGACTCAAATTGTTTTGCTTCGAGACTTCAGTGTTTTACGTCCCAATTCAATTGGCTACTCTCCATTTTCTTTCGAAGTGGCAATTTCATTTTCACTCACCTTTTCAGGATTTCCCCCAAAATTTACTGTGCCAAAAAGCCCACAAGAAAAGTCAAATTTCTTATGGTAGATAAATGTTTCCATTGAAATATATCGCTTTATCCGCAAGAAACATGTTCTGCAGATGTATCCAAAAGTTGACAGCTGTATCAATCCCTTACATATGCGATAAATGTTGTCTATATCTTTGAGATGTGGTATTATGATTACTTGCATTCGGACTGTTATACTCATCTTCATTTCCTATATATACAACGTTTCGGCCGTTGTTAACTCTGGCCTTCTTCAGCTGATTGGAATTTCGAACCGAACCCTTTATTTCATCCACCGGGGTAGATTGTTCTAGCCCCCACACACACATATATATATATATATATATATATATATATATATATATTAAAACATAGGTATTTTCTGGAGGTACATACATACATACATACATATATATATATATATATATATATATATATATATATATATATATATATGTAGCTCAAGAAAATATCTAAGTTTTCAAATTAATTTTATAAAATGAAATTTCTTCTTGAAATTCATAGTTTAGTTTTAATTCATTTAAGATATTATTGAATTAGAAAAACGTTCAGTTACTTTTATGAATGAAATGTATTACGGAAACTATTGTCTTACGAAAAAGTGATGAACTTTTATCATTAAAATAATAATTAGAATAATTTACACATTAATATAGAAATTTAATTGATGTAAATCTATAAAATTTCACTATTAATTTGTAGCGATTAACTGATATTTTTATTATATAATAATTGTATGTACTAATCATATATGGAAAACGTTATTACAATTTGGTGTCCACCAGTATTTTAAAAAATTTAGAAGTTTTTTGTATGTGTGCAAATGTTCTAATTTTTGTAAAAACGTACGTCTATACACAATAGTATCCGAAAATAAGAGCGGTAACTATAGTAAATGTAAAGTTTATTGTTATTTTTCTAACATTTCCTTAACAACGTCTTCATAATTGAGACGATTATGCAAACATATCTAAAATTCAATAAAATATTAAAATGCTTAAAATATTTAAATTATGTAATATATTAAATTATGTAATTTTATTACAATTATATCCACCATTCAAATTTAAGAAATATCCTGCTGTCGATAAAACTGTCAACATCTCATAAAATAATCACCTTCGTGATAAAAAATGCTTTTCGGGGATTCTAAAATTAATATTCCTTTTAATTCAGAAGAACTAAATTTTATATCGGCTAATTTATCTCAAATAACATTTCAGAAAAGTATATATTTATTTTTC